AACCTGACTACACCCACAGCAGGGCAATGGCTTCTCCCACGATCCGCCAACTAACCTGGTCTTGTGCTTTCTGCTGCAAGTTATAGCTGCATATTTTAAATCTCATCGGCCCACCTAACGTTCTGTTTCCTCTTGCATTCGCTTTCTCTGGGAATATAGTCAGTTACACTTAATGACCACCGGTATCCTGCCTACGCGCTACATAAACAGCCCATGCACGTTTCTTATTTTTGATTTCGACTGTGATATCGTTAACCCCGGTTTTTTCCCTGACCCATAATGCTTTATTCTTGTCTCTTGAGATTACATCTATCCTTTTCCTTTCCATCGCTTGCTGCGCAGTCCTCTATTTAGGCTGGACGCTCTTCGTAAGTCTTCAGATTTCTGTTCCGTAAGTAAGCTCTGGCATGATGCTGCTGTTATATACTTTCCTAATGAGGATTAGTGGCAGATTACCAATCACGTTTTGAGAATGCTTGCCCAACGTTATCCCCTCCATTCTTATTCTCCTCGTTAATTCACTCTGATGGTCGGGCTCCATGATTGCTACCTTGTCTAAGTATACACATTCCATTACAACTTCTATCTTTTCTCTGTTTTTTGCTAAATGCTGTTTTCTGCCGAGACTGTTACACGCTACTTTAAATTTATGCATTTTGATTTTCCGACCTACTCTTCTGCTTCCCATGTGCCGTTGACAAATCAGTAGCTGTGATTTTTCACGTGACTTACTCATCAAGGCAATTCCATCAGCTACTCAAACGTTGCTAAGATACTCTCCTTTAACTCTTATTCCTATCTCTACCTAATTTAGGACCCTGAAAACCTCCTGTACACAAGCGGCTAATAGCAGCGGAGAGAAACTTCTTTATTGAAATTCATTCACATTCTTTTGGGGGAAATATGGTGGCGGTGAATCCGCTGTATAGTTCGTCCAGTACGTTTATCTAGGGTTCATAGATGCCCTGATTATTTAATGCATCATTGATGATGTCTCGACAGGGTCAAACACCTTCTCGTAATCTGTGAAGGCTATGTATAAGGGTTGCCTGTATTCCGCATATTTCCATATTACCTGATTGATAATACGAATATGGTCTATTGTGGAGTAACCTGTAACTCTCTTAACTCTTATTCCTATCTCTACCCAATTTAGGACCCTGAAAACCTCCTGTACACAAGCGGTTAATAGCAGCGGAGAGAAACTTCTTCGTTGAAATTCATTCACTTTCTTTTGGGGGGAACTATGGTGGCTTTGAATCCGCTGTATATTTCGTCCAGTATGTTTATCTAGGGTTCATTAATGCCCTGACTATTTAATGCATCAGTGATGATGTCTCGACAGGGTAAAACGCCTTCTCGTAATCTATGAAGGCTATGTATAAGGGTGGGCTGTATTCTGCACATTTCCATATTACCTGATTGATAATGCGAATATGGTCTATTGTGGAGTAACCTGTACATAATTCTGCTTGTTCGTTTGATTGATACAGCTCTATGTCACCCTACTTATATAGGACAATATTTTTGTGCATAGCTTGTAAAAAACAGACAGTAAGCTCATGAGCTTGTAATTTTTGAAGTCCTTGACATCTCCTTTTTCATAGATTGGGATGACTTTGACGTTTTCCTAAGATTCTAGTACTCTTTCTATGAAGAGACACTTCATTTATAAGGTGGCTAGTTGTTCTAACACACTTCACCACCATCTTTCAGCAGGTTCGTCGTTACCTTATTTTCGCCAGCGGATCTGCCTTTTTGCATTTCTTTACAAAGGCTTCAATACTTCAGTGTCGTTACTGGCCAGATGTCAAATTTCTCTGAGCTATTATTCCTTTTTGCGATGCCACTCTGGTTTTTTCGGCTTCTGTACAGTTCTCTGTAGAACTTCTCCATCATCTCAACTATCTTGTTCTTGTTGGTTACGACAATTCCTTCTTTATTCCTTAATGCATGCGTTTCAATTCTGCTTATGCACAAGTTTGCGCAGATTTTAGGCTTCTGCCACTTTCTACAGCATGCTCGATTCTTTCATGGGTTGCCTTGGAATGTCAGCTACGTTGCGCCTACTGATGAGTTTCAAAAGCTTCACTTGCTCTATCTCGTCAGTTGTATTAGAAGCTTTTGTGGTTTGTCATCTTTTCGTCAGATTTCTCGTCTCTTGGAATAGATTTACAGCGTCCTGTTGAGTGACTGTAGATCCAACTTCTGTTTACACAGTTTATTGATAGCAGTAAGATTTTTATTCACTATGTCAACGTGAACGAAGGTTACCTCATTTAGAGCTGCGAATCTATTCTGAATAAAATTCAGAATTTTTGTACTTATTCACCGCTACCTTATTTTTCTGGCGTCACGCGTATCATTTTATGCCTTTGATAGTTTTCGAATTCAGGTGAATTTGAGCTCTTATAATTCTATGGTCATTGCATTGTCTCTTGTGAACTACTTCTACATCCTGTACAATGCCTAGCTGTGCACAGAGAATGAAGTTCAGTTCATTTCTAAATTTACCATTTGAACTCTGCCATGTTCCTTTATGATTAGTTCGTTTTTTGTAGAAGGTATTCAAGATCTGTTTATTATTACGTTCTGTGCGCTGTACTAATAACTCTTCTGTGACATTTCAAAAGCAGATGCTATCTCCCGCTACAGCATGGTCTCCGGCCTGTTTCTTGCCTAGTTTAGAATTAAAGTCACTCATCAGTGTAGTGTACTGTGTATTTACTTTATTATTGCATACTCTAGGTCTTTTAACAAGCGTTCAATCAGAAGTTCATCATCGCTCGACGTAGGCGCAAAGACCTGTACCATCTTCATCTTGTACTATTTCATGACTAAAATATATATTGTAGCTAAACCATAAAAACGATCTTTTGTTTTCATGGCAAAAGGCATATCAGGACTTAAATATATAAAGGAATATTGTGCTAGCTGCTATGCTGCAAGCTGTAGCAGTTTCGAAAATTTCGAAAGTGTGCCAACATAAAAGCAGTAATGAATACGCGCGTAGTCACAATTACAATCATTGCCAATGACTGTAACCAACAGTCATGACTCAAACAATCATTACTATTCTATTCCTTACTCTTTCGCAGCGAAACACCATCGCCAAGATATTACTCACAACAAAGCAGTGTAAATAACACTTTAGTTGGGAGAGAAATTCTGTGTAGCTCCATGAGTGCTATTTAGTGGTAATCTTCAGTCAATTTTCAGTTCTGCGAAGATCTCAGGCATCCAGATTGCGACTTTTATTAGAAAGAAAAGGAAGTAACTTGTGATTTTTTGCGCATAGGTATTGGCCACTTATTAGAACATTCTATTGTCTTTAAATATGTCTTATCACCCCACACTAATAACACCTTAATTATGAATACACTGCAATCCGTAGCAACCACCTATCTGTACAAACACAATTTCCAATATGGAGGGCACAAGCAAATCGCGAGTGTGTGCTATAACTCCGAGTGCTGTCGACAGTTTGGGCGATGCCTCCCTGTCGGCTAAAGTGCAATTATGTCGCCTGGTGTCGTTTGCAATGCGATGCATTCTCCACGTGCCGGGAGTGCCACACAAATGGCGTAGCAGTTGAAGCCTCCCGTACACTACTGCACTTGAATGTTCGCTGAGCTCGCTCGCAAGAGTATCGGCCTCCGGGGAAGAGACGTTTCATTGAAGTGCGCTTGCGTGAAAGGCAGCCACCATCGTAGGCGGTGCCTTGGCGCCAGACTGCCTTACGAGCGCTGCCCAATATTGGCCGTTAGCGGAGCAAAGCAGCCACGTGTCACAGAATGAGAAATCACACAGAGAAAAACTTGGTCAGAATCATTCAAAACTATAATGAACGTCAACGGTGCTCGCGAAAGCAAGAAAAGTGGGAGTGTTTGAGGGAGGAGGGAGGTCAATCTCGCACATCGTTTTTGGCTTTAAAAACTTTGGGCAACCACATTTGTTGTTTTTGTTATTAATGATATTATTATGATTATTATTGTTTGTTGTTGTTGTTGTTGTTGTTGTGTTTGTTGTTGTTGTTGTTTAGATACTAGCGTCATAAACGAACTGACGCTTTTTTGCGACACAACGTTTTTAGGGGGCTTTTAAGCTCTAATGGCATCAATTTAGACCAATTTGTTTAAATTCAAACTATACATGTTGTGTTTGAAAGGCAATAGAATGAGATAAATTTTAAGCTGTTCCGATGACAAATTAGCTGTAGGCTACTGAGTGCGTATTATATGAAAGAATAAAAAGCAAACACTGCTCATAAAGCAGTTTAGCCAAATGAGAACAAATCCGCGACACCTATTTCACAAAACAGCAATTGTCTGCTCATGCGAGCTTTGAAGAGCGTACTCAAAATAAACCAAGCAATAACTTCTTTGAAATCAGCCAGAGCTCTTGAAATTCAGCTCAGACACCCCAAGTGCGTAGGTAGTGAATTCAAGGAGAGGGCTATAGCAGTAAAACATGGTAAAGTGTTTGCATATCTGAATACCAAAGATGGTTCGATATGTTAGCTTTTGTAAAATTCCACTAACCTTAACACGGCTGCACTAATGAAGCTAGAAAAGTGTATTACATTTAACAAAAAAAACTAAAACACCTCCGAACAAAACTTAACCACATCATTTCTTCACAATGTATAGAGAAAGAATTTCCATGTCGCTACTTTCTCTTTAGGTCATATTCTTCTTGCGAGCTGTGGTGTATATCTACGAATCTACATGCCATGGGGTATATGTAACGATGCTTCTCAGCTGCAAAACATTGTTTGTCAAGTCGTAACATTCTCCACGTAAATGCCATGCCTCCACTAGATTGAATTGGAGGAATGCGTACACTTACTCATATTTACAGTTTGAATTAATTTGTTCTATGATCAATTCCTGGATGTCACTGAGTGCTTCTGCATGCAGTCAAGACGACGCAAAGAATTCGGGAAGGTGTAACATGAACAGCGGCTAAGTAAAAAAATAATAAACGTTGATCCAGCTCACCTGCTTTAAGTATTTCTTTACGCGATGTGTCGGCGCGTCCAACAAAGTGTTTGATTCGCCTCTCCGTCCCATTTCACGGAACACCTTGAGTAGCTCTTCACCGGGAGCGCACTGCCGTAGTCGGAAGGTGACGTCACCCGTTGGGGACAAGCGCAGCGCTTCTCGAAGTCGGAGGATAGCTGTGAACAATTTAAGCACAATTGAAATAAAATGTACGAGTGACATGTTGAAGCATGTAAAGTCTTCGCGAGAGTTAGCGTGGAGGAATAAACCTATGTCAATAAACACACTGCAGTGCTCGTAAACAAAACAAATGAGGCCTGCAACTTATCCCCGTTTTTCTATGTTATTCCTCATTTTCATGCACCTTTGCTTCGATTTTTCATGTTCTATAGGCCAAGTTCACGCTTTATTATGGTAGTGGCTAGTTTTTTCACCGATAATAAAGATATTCTAAAATCATAACAACAAGAAAAGTGCACGCGAAAAAGCAGCTAGACAGAGTTCCTGATAATGCATTGACGTAGCTCCAAAAAGAACAAGACAAAAACAATACAATCATGTAGCCCTAAATTTTACATATATACGCATCGTATTTAATTACAATGAGAGCAAACGGTAATTAGGTAGCAGCAATGAAGATCAGCAAACTCCAATCTTACGGAACGATGATACGTGTGTAAATGAAGTAAGGTCAAATAACTCAGGTCATCGTCAGGTCAAATAACTTTCGTGTAATCAGCCCTTTTGTTTCCACCTCATTTGCTAGTAAACCACTTATTTCTAGAATGCAACTCACCCTCAACAGTGAACTTTTTGCAAGGCATGCCTTGGTCCTGGGTCTAGCATTTTTCATACACTGAAAGGCCGACACTTCAATGCCTTTACATATCGCAGTAGCTCGTGTCCCTGATTGTTTTATCATGAACAGCCTAATAATGTATGTTTTGATGTTTCGCATCTTCTTCCGCGTCTAGACATGAATGATATCTTCAAGTAAAGATATCAAATAAAAAAAGCAAATACGCACAGACGAGAAAAGGACAACGCCAAATGGGAATAAAAAGACAGGAATGGGAGTGAAAAAAAACGGCAGATGCCATGTACAGTGGGAATAGATGGTATGCGAAGCACGAATGAGAAATGTTTATATATCACTTTAAAATCAGCACAACGTTACGAGGTGGAAGTAAATGTTGCCGTACATGACTTCCGTGTCATGGTTATCATGTTTGGATGTGTCGTTTACCTTTGTATTCAGTTCACGTCACGTGATACCAAATTTAGAATAGGCCCAGCTAGCAAAATGGCCGTGACCATGCTATGAGCGTGGTATGCTGTCATGTTCTTCAGTGACAGGCGTGTCAGGATTATCATGTTTGAACCAGTCGTATATTTCGTCATTCTTTGACGTCACGTAACAACAAATTTGGTATACGTGGAGCTAGCGAAATGGTCGCGAGCGCATCATGAAGGGCTCATTATACTCCAAAGTAGCGCTGACGTGCGCGCACGCTGGCCACAGCGACGCTACGTTAGCAAAACGCGAGCGCTCTCTGGCCTGATGCCAGGCGCGACCAGCGTCCGTCGGCGCGGCCAACGGCAACCGGCTCGAAATGCAACATGCTACCAGTCACATACCTTCGTCATTCATTGGCGTCACGTAATACCAAATTTAGCATTTAGGCTAGCGAAACGGCTGCGAGCGCATGATCAGTGTGGTATATAGTCATGTTGTTACATAACACGCATGTAGTGATAACATGTTTGGGTGTGTCAGTTACCAATGCCGTCCGTTCGCATCGCGTAATACTGAGTTTGGTACATGGGAAGCTAGCGAAACAGCTGCGAGCGCCTCATGAACGTCGCATGTAGTCACGATGTTACATGAGACGCATCTCATGTTTATCATGTTTCACCATTATGATACCTTCGTGATCCATTCAGGTAATACGAAATTTGGTATAAGTGAAGCTAGCGAAACGGCCACCAGCACATCATGAGCGTTTCATGCAGTCATGTTGTTACATGACACACATCTCATGATTAGCATATTTGCACCAGTCACATACCTTCGCCGCTGTAATACCGAATTTGGTATAATTGAAGCTAGCGAAATGGCCACCAGCGCTTCATGAGCGTTTTATGCAGTCATGTTGTTACATGACACACATCTCATGATTATCATGTTTGCACCAGTCACATACCTTCGCCGCTGTAATACCGAATTTGGTATATGTGACGCTAGTGAAACGGCCCCGAGCGCATCATGAGCGTGGCATGTAGTAATGCTGTTACATGACACGCATGTTATAATTTTTATTTTAGGGTCTCTCGCTTGTGTTCGCCATCCAATCATGCCATACTGTACGAATTCTGCACCATGCTATGTGAATTAAACCACCTCAAAAGCCGCAGGACGATTAAATGTAAATCATGACATTCATGGCATACATTTCATGATTTTTATAGTAACACTAATCAAATGTTTTTCATACAGTCATGTTATGCCATACCAAGTTTGGTATGGATACAATTATAGAAACGGTCAGGAGAGCTAAAAGTCGTAGGCGGATAGATAGATAGATAGATAGATAGATAGATAGGTAGATAGATAGATAGATGGATAGGGAGATAGCTAGATAGATAGATAGATAGATAGATAGATAGATAGATAGATAGATAGATAGATAAATAAATACGCTGCGAAATTTACACCACTATGCGGAAGGCTTTTTCAAAGACGGAAACAGGAAGAATATGTTATTTGTGAAAAACTGTGTTACGACAGAGCAACACTCAGATAAGATTTTGAATATGGACTATGAAAAGCATCCAGATCAAGAAATATTGCATTATAGAGACTGTATATTATGAGCACTGGAGTGTTGGAGGAAATTGGCAGGTAAATAAAATCTTCGATTCTCTCGGGTTAACTTACACGAAATTCGAAAATTTATACAAAGGAGAAGTAAAGGGCAGAATATCACACCATGAACTGGCTTTAAAAAAATAGCAGGTCAACGCGATGTAGCCGACAGTGAAGTAATGGTATTGGTAATAATCTGGCATTGGTAAAACCTGATCCAGAGTCAATTTCAGCGAAAAAATTGTTTTCAATGCATATAAACTTTCTCAGGACTCGTACAACGGTGGTACTGCCTAATTTAGCTATGGTATTCCAGATCACAGATGCATATTCAAGTTGAGAAAGACGTATTGTGGTGTACGATTTGCAGAAGAAAGTAGGAGAACTGATTTCTCTAGAGATTCTGCAAACATAGCCGAGAAAACGAAGGCCACGCAAGGCAGCACGTTTAGTGTGAGCAGAAAAAGATAGCATGCTATCAAACGGAACACCAAGAACACCATCATTACTGAACACACAAACCTCACAAAAGAAGGTGGTATTAACTGAGCATGAAAATCACACGATAGTTGTTTTGTGATATACACTGATGAATTTGGTCTTTGAGGTATTCAGGTATCGGTTATTGTTGTCGCGAAATTTGGAGAAAGAACACGTCTGACGGCAGCAAGGGACAGTCGTTAACTGAATGAATTTCCTTAAACATCTTGATTTCATCGGCATATAAGATAGATCAAGATACTAATATGCAAAAGAAACAACGTTAACATAAATTAAAAATAAGGGTGAGCCTAATACCGACTCTTGAGGAACCTCACTGTAGTTACTTGGTACAAAAAGGCGTTCAGCAATTTACGACCACTTAACACAGATAGCTATGCTGTATATGCACAACTGAAGAGTCAACATCAATGTTTGCAAAGTAAACCAGCGTCACTGAGTAGCTAACTATGCCAAAAGCTTTGCTCAGGTTTCAGGAGACTACGTCAACCTGTTCTCTCTGAAAAATAGGGGAGGGGGGTGTCGCATCATAAAACTAGCAAGATATGTGGTAGATGAGCGGCCAGGAAGAACCAACTGTTCATTGGGAACTAATGAATTTTTCACAATGACACACAATATGTCGGGAAAAGCCGACTCATATACATTCAATGCTTGATGCTTGAGTGTATACGTAACAGTTTTCCCACCACTACTTATGCTACCAGCACAAGCTGTCTGATTCAACAGTTTCTTATGTCATTTATTTTGTGCGAAAGTCAATTATTTTTGCCCGCACAGGATCCTTTTCATAGCTCACTGTACAACAAGGTATCACGTAGTAAATTCGGAAATATATCATAGACCAAAATATCTAGCAAATGCTCTGAAGAGTCCAAGTGATCCGATGGTATACTGGAGGTTCATTGTCACGAAGGTTTCTTTTCGGGAAAGCACGAGCCAATGCAGGTGTGGAAATGAAAGTCCATGACAGGATCGAAAGGCAGACGGTACATGTCCGACTGTGCATTTGTTGTGGAGAGTCAGCGTTTATGTGCGTTCCCAATAAGTCACGACACGTTTCCATTGAAAATACTTTTCTGTCATCAAAAACCGCCTTTCTTGCTCACCGCTTGTCTGGCAACGAGAGGAGACTTCCAGCTGAATTGTTTCAGCCCTAGAAGAACCACTGTGGGCAGATCAATAACAATGGCTTGAGCCGAGTGACAGCCCATGAATTAGACTGCAAAAGCAAAGGAAAAAAAAGAATGCAAAACATACGCAACATGACGGATGCCGCGACATCAGGAGATTGGTGCCAGAGGAAAATCTGATCGATAAAAGAGAACAAACTTGAAGTGGGGGGTTGCATGAAAGCTAAATTATATACGTCTGCGCGTATGTTTGTGTAAAGAACAAAGAGGAGAACAATAGCTTACATGAAAAGGTAATCACTGGTGGAGGCATTTCACCGACATAAAAATAATAAACTTTTAGCAACCCGAAACTACAGCAAATATTGTGTTTGAAGGCGTCAAGATGATGCAAATAGCAGGAAGAAATAAAAATGTAGAAGGAAGAAATAATATGTCAGCTAGAAGAACCAGAGCACGGGCAGCGATTGGTTTTACATGGTTGTCACTTGAGACGTGCTGTTTTAGTACAATGAAACACACACTAAGAGCAAACGCCAGGTACAGTTCAAGTGGGAAATAGGAACTAATTATTTGATGAAAACCTGACGCATATATACAAGGCGAAAGAAAGAAGGGAAGTGTGAACCTGCGCAAAGCACACAGCAAGAGAGCAACCACCTGCGTCTTAGTTATT